TACAGATTGTAAAACCGTTTCTACCGTAAGGTTTATAGTTGAAACGACACAATTACTCACGAGTCTAAGCAAGTTGTAACATAAGAATTCGATGCACTAATGTACGAAAAGCGGATTCTTCGTATTATTATAAGTAGCAAGTAAAAACTCCTATAGGCAAGAGGATCGTTTGAGGGGAATCATAATATTATGTCAATACGCGACAGGAAGTCTAGGTGACACACGTGATGACAAAAAAAAAAAACAAAAAAAAACAAAATGATGTCTCAAATAAAGTGCTGTGGCAATCGAAAATAAATCACTCACGTTTATTCGTCGAATCAAAACCGGGATCCTGTAGCCTGATTTGCAGCTCTCATTTTACTCACTTCCGTTTATTTACGTTCCTCTGCGGCATTTACACTTTTCGTTGCCACCGCCAGGATGCACCGCTCTCTTTTTTCTAATTTCTCTGTAAATTCAGCACCAACCGCTTTGTAAACTACGTCTAACTGTTCGATACATGAAATATTATTCATCGTTCACAAGTGCTACGTATTTATTTTCAAATATTTCAGTTTGATTTTCACGCGTTGAAACGTACGAGAAACGAACGCGCGCTCGCACTTGCCTTGGTTCTTTGTGCACCGTTAAAAACAACCTTTCGTTCGGGGGGTGGGTTTGCTTCGCAATTCCAGGTGAGGAAGGAATACAGGAAGTTCGTGCGACGCCACTCCTGGCTGCCCAAGTGCCTCAGGTGCTCGAAGACGGTGACCGGAAGCTCCGGTGGTTCTTCCGGTACCAGCGGTGGCGCCGGTGGCGCAAACGGCGGCAAGGACTTCGCCTCGCACAACACCTCGTCGAATCCGTCGGCGCCGACAACAGACAGTTCCGGATTGTCGCCTCACGCCGCCTCCAATGTGGGTACAACAACGACCACGTCACCGCCGAACAATCACAACAACCTGACCGCCGCCTGTAACAATACGAATCTTTCGATAAATGTGAACCTGAACAATTTGTCGCTGAGGTCGCCGGTCGGGGCACACCAGATGCACATGATGGCACCTAGCAACCACAATAGGCATCCCGCTCAGCAAGGTATCCGATAGCCGCTTCTACACCAAACCGAGAAAACGAAAATTCGTACGAAACGGTTTTGTTCGATCAGTTCTGACAGCTGTATTATCTTGTCTCGCGAGGGAGAAAAATGTACGGATATGAAAGAGGGAATTGTCATTTTTTTCTTCATGGAGGAGGACGAACGAAAATAGGTCTCTCTCTCTCTCTCTCTCTCTCTCTTTTATCCTCACTATATGGCTGGCTAACTGGTTCTCCATTTATTCCTCTTCCTCTTTGCTCGCCTCTCTATTACACACCACTAGTGTTTTTCTTCTTTTTTTTTTTTTATTTCATTATTCTCTTCCGACTATCGCTTGTTTCTGCCAGTAACGCAAGTATGATTAATGATACTGGAATTAATAACGCAACTCCCTCTACCGTAGCTCTGTCGCTCGTTCCACGAACGCCACAACCACCGGCCTTTCTCGAGTTGATAACTTCGCGAAGGTTCTTGCACCTTTATCGGGCGAATTCTTTCGTCCGCCGGTTGGACGGGCAAGACCGTTGCGATGCAAACCGGGCGCACACTCGTGTTTTCCTTGTTCGTTGCACGATCATCCACGCGATTAAGAGGAATGATTTCCGGTTGCGGTTGAAACGGCCGCTGTTCTACGTGACCGTTTCAACCGGACATCTTGCTCTGTCTCTCTCTCTCTCTCTCTCTCTCTATCCTCCCTCTTCGATGCATCCACTGTCACTGAGATCGTTCTGTTCGAATGAGATCAACTTTCACGTTGCTATGTTTACGTACACCCTTATTCTTCGAGACACGCAATGGTTTCTTCTCTCTCTGTCTCTCTCTCTCTCTCTCTCTCTATCCTCCCTCTTCGATGCATCCACTGTCACTGAGATCGTTCTGTTCGAACGAGATCAACTTTCACGTTGCTATGTTTACGTACACCCTTATTCTTCGAGACACGCAATGGTTTCTTCCATGAATAGAAAAAATCATTACCTTGTAGAGATTTCGCAAGATGGGGAAAGGCACGCTTTACAGAGGTAACAGATTTCTCTCGCCCCTCGACGGTTAGCATCTAGAAACAATACCGCAGAAAATGGAGGGATTTCGAAACGCCTCATCCAACTAGTTAAGCGTTTAACCACCACCACCACCGGCACACCACCACCCGCGTCGCCCTCTGTTCGCTCGTGTATGCTAATTCAACCGCGTCGCCCCATCGTCTTCGAGACTACACCCTCCGCACAGTTTCCCTCCTCCCGTTCGGCGACTCTCTTTCTTCTTTATCATCTTCTTCTTCTTCTTCTTCTGCGTCTTCCGTTTGTTCTTTCTCTTTCTGTCGTTTTTTTTTTTTTTTAATGTGTTACCCCAAGTCTGTTGCAGGATAAATTGCGAAGTGGGTGTCCTCGACCCTCCTAGTCGAGGGAGATTCGTTTCGAATGGCCACGCGTTTCCGCTCAAAAGCGACGCGTGCCAGAAACACTTTTTTAACGTCACCGAGAATTGCTTCGCCGCCTCGAAAAGCTGGCTCTGGAACGAGAGACGAGCTAAAAAGGCATTTAACGAACCGTTCGACTCTTTCGGCTCTATCGCGTTCGCTTGTGAAGAGAATTTAGAAAGAGAGAGAGAGAGAGAGAAATAAAAGAGGAGAGAGAGAAATAGTTATTCAGGGAAGAGTTAGAGTATAGTAACGGTGGTAATGGAGGGGGGAAAGAGGAACCAATGTTTAGGGGTTGGTTTGGTTGAACAGAAGTGAACAAAAAGGAAAAACTGAGAGAGAGAGAGAGAGACGGAGGAGAATTTATTGAACGTGGCTATGCCACAGATTTGTATGATAAAACAACGATACACGGTTGTAGATGAAACGATAACCACAGCAACGCGTTTATGTGTGTGTGTGATCGTGTGCCCGTTGCATTTTCCGTAAAAATTTATTGCCAATTGTCGGGCGAATTTATCGGATTTAGTAGAGATTACTAGACGCGAGGCACTCCCGTCGACTGGAAATGATGAATGACGTTATACGACAATTATATAATTGCACAGCATCGATGCTTCTTTCTTTTTTTTTTCCTGCTTTCACTCTTGTCTCGTTCCTTGTTGTTTTTATCGTTCGTTCGTGAATTCGCGCGCTGGTCGCTCACCGGTAAATCCAGCGAATTTCAGAACGGCTCGTAACCGCTCGTTCGCGTACACCTCGTGGTTCTCGCGAAAACAAACGCTGCTCGTATGATTGTACGATGTTCCTTTTTTTTCCCCGCTGTTTTTTCTAATTGTAATTGTCAACGTAAGGCTCGAACGCGCTCCGGAAATATTCCAACAAAAAATCCGTGCTTCCGATTCGAACGTTACTTCGATCGAGGAAAAGAAAATACAAAAAACGAAGACGAAATACCACGATTCTGTATCACTCTCTCTCTCTCTCTCTCTCTCTCTCTCTCCCCCTCTGTGTGTCTCTTTCTCTCTGTCTCTCTGAAAAATTCAGAAAATCTGTTCACTTTTTTTGTTTTTCGTCTATCCTTTCTCCGAGCGAAAAAGAGAAAGAGAGGAACAGTCTCGGTGTCGACGCACACGCGCGGCAGGGCTGAAAAAGAGAAAAACAAATAGAGAGAAAAAAAGAAACGAATAGAGAGAATTCTCATCGCTTGTGAGCATTTGTGATTAGAGAGAAAAAGAAATAAAAAAAATTATACAGGCACGCTCTCTCGCTCGACTTTTGCACACCTGTAAAACACGCGAACGTACTATTTGCAAGACCTCCCCTACTAACAATGGTGATTTTCGTGCTTCTTATCTGGCTCTGGGTTTGGTGTAACGCGGTTGCTGGCTACTTTGTACCCTATTTCCCCTCCCTTTTTTCCTACCGTTCTACATGCCCGAAACTTACTTTTATTGCGACGCGAGCCTGATGCGAGCCCGACCGTGTTGCGCACGGCTCGCCATTTATTTCAGATGATGTTCCGGATCGTTAATGAAACGCTTCTCTGACGGACCGGCACACGCACGAGAGACGTAACGAATCTGTAACATCGATGATTTATACAATCGGCTTCGCAGCTGCGCCTCTGACGACTGACTACTGCTCGCAACACTTTCAGCCTGCGTGCCATTTTCTGTCTGCCCGCTGTTTTATACTTCGTGAAACGAGCCGCGCGTCTGTTTAATACGAGACTCTGCATACCAGTGAAAATGATTTTCGACGTTTTTCCAAGTATCGATGAGAATTACGCGCAATAGAGACTGTTCGATGATCTATGTTGTAGAAACTGCGATATCCTCGATAATTTAACGGTTGTTAAATTTCGTCGAAGTAAGGAAATTGGAGATTTCTTTCTTTTCTCAAATTGATTTGCGCGTGAAATATTAGCGAAACGTTGGTAATTTCTATCGCGAGGTTTTCTTTTTGAAAAAAAAAAAAAAAAGAAGGACAAGTCCTACATTCCATCCGGTAGCATCTGCTCTAGCAAGTCAGCCATGGCTTCCTCGCAAACCTGTTTGTCGCTTATCGACTCCTTTTTACTCTCGAGGCACTGATGCGTGAGCCGACCGGTAACGCAGTCGTTGAAGAAGTTTAAACAAATTTCCGTAGGCCATGAAGGAAGTGTACAGTGTTCAGAAAGATTCGTAATGTACGAGCGAATGTTGTTTTACATGATCGCGTGGGCAGAATACGATCGAATATAAATATCGGTACAACTTGCGTAACTTGCTCTCAGATTCCCCGTTAAGACAATCAAACGATAGATACTGTCGTTCGTATACAACCTTGTAAGATACTTCGAATTCTGTCCACGCGATCGGAAAATGAAAAAAAGAAAAATACCTTTTAAGCCGCTTGCTGTCGAACGATCGATCGATCGAATAGCGCACGAATTAACCCCTTTTTTTCTCTGGTTTCCTTTTCGCGAAAAAAAAAAACAAATTATTCGCACGCTGTTCGATCGACGAACTCGGTTCGTGTTCACAGCCTGACAAACGCACGTCTTCACACGCGTCGAGGCGCTCTTTAAAACCACTCACCTATCACACACGACCGGTCACTTAACCGCGAAGACAGGGGAAAAACCGTAGAGGCGAGAAAAATCCACGCCAAAGCGATCTGTTTCACATCTCTCTCTCTCACACCTCCTCTGCAACAAACGCACACTCATACCTACGCTCTTCGTACACACACACACACACAAGCATAAACAGACACGTCGTTTTTTTTCCTATTTTTTTTTCTCTCCCCTCGCTCCGTGCGTTTCGCTAATTAACACCAGGTGCACACGCGCGACGAGAGAGGTAAAGGGGTATAGAGGGTAATACGGATCATCGAAGGCCTCTAACGATCCAAAGCCGCGCTCGAAAACAGCTCAGGAGACGGGCGCGCTACGTTCACCGGGTGCTCTTTAATCGAAGCACGCGAACGTGCGCGCGAAAATCCATAATTAGCCGGATGAACGTGGAAAAGTGCCATGTTCCATTGGAACGCGCCGGGTTTCATTACCAAGCCGGTTTTACCAAAGGAGGAGCGCGCCGGATGGGTAATTTTATTCGGTTGGATCGGTTGGAACGCCTCCGCGATGATCGATATTACGCTATTTCCTCTCTCTCTGGTACGGACGACCCAGTCTCGGCACGGTTGCACGTCAGCCGCGCAAACGAGGAGCCGGTTCCCCCGACGTTACCTCATTACAGACAGTAAGAAAACAAAGAAGACTCGTTCCCTCGCGCCACGATCTCTGTCGCATCTCACCTTGCTCCATCGCGCGCGCCTCGCTGCTGGCTTCAAGGGGGAAACGAACGGGTCGATAATCTTGGACTTCCCGACGACTGCCACCATCGCGGGCTTCTTCTTTTCAAACTTCGTCAAATTTTCCGGTTAATTACACGAGAAATTTATTCAATTAACCGAGTAATTTTGCACAGATTCGGTTAAGTGAAAAATCTTCGATTCTCAACGGTCCTCTACGGGCCAGTCCAATTATTATTCCGCAAACTATTCTACAGATTGTTCCTTAGAATCTCGAAGGAGAAGTCGTTAGGATTGATCGAGGAAGAGTGACAAGAGAAGAAGAAAAGAGAAAAGATTCAGGAAATCTTAGAGTACCGTCCGGAAATCTCACGAGTCGGGTCTGTTCCATCGGGAGCAGAAAAATCTTGGCCGGAAGTTGAAGGAGGCTCGCGTGACCTGTCCACGTACAACCGGAAAACAGGTGCGATCGCGTATCGTTCGTCCCAGGACAAACACACACGAGGAAGCACGCGGTGGAAGGTGTGCGTGCTGACGTCGCGTATCTCAGCCCGTTACGTCGTAGATTTGCTCGCGTACGAGTTAAATCCGCCACGCTTCCGGCGAGCATCGCAACTCCGCGAGATATCGTCGGATTTGCCGCGTCCGTATCTCCAGTGTGCGCGTCGCTTTCCAAGGGTTGGAAGCACCCTTTTTAAACCGTGTCGCACGAGATCCACGGCTAATCCTTCCTCCTCCTACTCCTCCTCCACGATAGAACGATTGCACGGAGGTGTATTTGTCACAGGCGAACCTCGCGTCGCCGGGTTAATTAGTTTCGAAGGACGACTCTAAGAAAAAGAAGAACGAGAAAATCACATCGAGAATGGAGGAGAGAACGCGCGCGCGCGCGCGCGCGTGTGTGTGTGTGTGTGTGGAGTTTTTGTTAAAATTTGAAAGAGAGAGAAAAAAAGGTGAAGTAATTATGGAGCAAGGTGTTTTGTCAAAGACTTCGTGAGATTCGAGTAACCCTTTGTTTACTGGTAAACAGGAACTTTTGTAATTAAATATTGAAACGATATTGGATTGGCTACATTGGTACACTTGATCAAGCTAGTACCAGATGCTTCAATATTCTCTCGGGATATTCTACTCCACTGTTGCTCGTATCGTGTCAACTTTGTCTTCGATGTTAATGACTTGATCTTTCGTGTAACGTAATCCACGGGTATTGTACCCCGGTGTATTGTAATACACGGACATTACAACCCTGTCCTCTGTGACCGGACATAACTTCACAAATTGCAACTAACAGTGGATAGCAACCGTTTGAGTACTGAACACGAATTTCGCTATTCTAAGTACTTTCGTTGCACTGAACGCGTTCGCTGCCACCAGAAAATCGTAAGAAGACACACACGAGTATCCTGTCTCAGCGTTCAACAGAGGATTCGATAAAGAGGGGCGATAACCGATCGACGCATCGTCGACGCACTGTCGACACTTGCACACAGGGCAAACCATTCTGCGTCGACGATGCTTCGACAGTGTCAGCGAACGTGTTAACCATCGTCGTAGACAGGTCATCCCTTCGAAATACTCCGAAAGATATCTCCCGTATGACCAGTTCACACACGTACACACCGATTCATCGAGGACACAACAATCTCTCTAGGAGACAGTAAACGAAGGGTTAAGAGGGAACGGCGAATGGTTCGATTTTTACAGTACTTGGCGTCCGGTCGAAGCTGGGCGATAGTCGATAGGCAGCCGGCAGTAACAGTGCCAGGTGAATCCTCTCCAACAGAGGCTCACATCGTTGCCACCCTGCCGTACGCCCGTCACGCCTTCTTACCCTCAGCTCCCAATATCCCCAAATCTGCCACCGCCACTTGGGGCCACCTTAACAAAAACCTCATGTGGAAGGTAACTAACTCACCGCAGCTAAAAAAAAAAACAAGAAAAAAAGGCTCGCTCGCTCGTGTCGTGGTTGTTTCGATCGAACTTTCCTTTTATTTTATTTTTTTTTTTTCTCTAACTATGTTCTTCTTGCCATTTTGTTTCTCTAATTGACTGCATGGTGTGCCATGGTTTTGTTACGTTGTTCCTTTTTTCATCGTTTCGTTTGTTTGTTTCTTCTTCTTCTTCTCATTTTTCGTTCACATCTTTCGTTCTTCAGTCTTACTTGACAAGCACCTAGTGACACATTTTGCACACTTAGAGGACACCTCGCGGTTCGACGATTCGAAACAGCATGGAGGTGTGGGGAAAACCGTTCCCGGGTGAACAACGTTTCGTCGAACGAGAGCTTGCGAACCAAAAACCCCGAAATCCACTTTTTCTCCCGTTTTCTCTTCCATACGAAAAGACCCGATCGTTTCGTTGTCGAGACCACGAATAATTCCCTTTCGACGTTTCATCGTCTAAGATACGCATTACCTGAGAACTTAGAGCATCGAAACGAAACTGTTCCGGTGGTCTCGACTCCGGGAACGATCGTAGCGTTCAGTTGTTTTGTCAAAGATAGACGTCTTTCCTTTACACGAGACGCGTATAGCTCGTTCTGTGTGTGTTTTTACGTTTTCATATCAGTAGTGACAGAGGAATGAAACAATGAACGTGTCCACAGTGATCATAGCGTTTTGTACATATCATACAGCACGTACAGAATCTTCTCGCTCGTTCCTTCGACCATGCATGCGAGCTCGTGGATTTTGCGAAACGTCCCCGAACTCAACGTGAGACTCGTTGTCCCCCATGTTTCTTTCATTCGTAGCTGTCGCATGAACGAGGACATTGCGTTTCCAACATCCGAACCTAATATGTACATATCTAAACCGAAAAAAAAAACGAAAGAATTCGAAAGTTCACACTTGATAGAAACGAAATGGAAATAGCAAGTGTCACCATTCATGCACTCACAAAACTGTCCTTCCCTTGTACCAATATGTACCAACGTCACACACCAAATTCTCACTTGCTGTTTCTCATCATC